ATTCTGTTATTCTGAAACTATTATATGTTATAGGATAAATCAATATATAACTTTATTAATTGTTAGAAACCAGGATTTTCAGCATAAGGAGAATAAAGATACAATTATATAAACAGAAAAACAAAGAAGTAAAAACCCATAATTCGAAATGGGAATTGATAATATAAGTATGAACTGATGATGTATTTCCTCCTCAAAAAAAGGGGGACTCTAGTTCTGTCCACAGAAAAGATTTAGAAACAATGACCAATCCAATAGCAATGACCATCCCCACAGTGCCCAGACTGTGATATCTAAACCACCATTTCTCACTAAGAAATCAGGGCTCCTTGAAAAAATGTCTAACTCCAAATCTGGGGCAAAAAATGTATGAACCTAGAACATCTTGTCATATCACAAAATAAGGACTATTAAGGACGAATGTGGTTGTGTCAAAAGAATTTAGGAGTCTCTTCAGAGACTCCCACTGGAATGTACGGGAAAATCTGAGCACCAAAGGAATATCTGCAATAAATTAACAGATATCAAAAATCTTAATAATATGGAGAATAAAAATTTTACTGGTCACTGAACTAACTCATTAACTGAAAACATAAATAGAGGGAAATACTCAGGCATTTATCCTGCTTTTTCTATATGAACTATACCTCAGAGTAACCAATGGTAATAAAGGAAAATTCTTCTTTAAGAATTCCACCTAATAAATGAAGAAAATAAAGATAAAATTCATTTTGCAACTACCAATGAAATAATGACCTAGGGAAAGACTATCAATAGCTATTAAAACAGTTGGTAATACTTGCACCTACTGATCAATGTTAATATCATTAAAGAGATAAATCAGACATTATGTGCCTCCTAAAGAGATGCAACAGCAAGTACACAATACCACTTAAAAAATATTCAATCCCGGGGAGCCTGGGTGGCTCAGTCAGTTAAGTGTCTGACTTCAGCTCAGGCCATGATCTCACGGTCCTGGGATCGAGCCCCACTCAGGGGGGCGTCTGCTTGTCCTTCTCCTTCTCCCTCTGCCCCTCCCCCCAACTTGTGCACGTTCTCTCAAAAATAAATAAATCTTTAAAAAAAAAAAAAGTTCAATCCCCCATCTCCAAAAACAATCAGACTTAAATCTGATCAAGCTTCTTGATTTAACTACCAGTTTTATGGAAATACATGGAACAGGATAACTTGTAAAACCACACCATGGGGATAAAAATCAGTAAAAACTAGACTATGGGAAAATCTCATGAAAAATGATGGATTTCTTCAACAAATAAATTGCAAAGGAAAAAAAAAGAAAAGGAAGAGAGACTTCTTAAGTTAAAAAAGACATAACCATATCAATCAATGTGTGGACTTTGGATCCCAATTAAAAAAAAATTTTTTATGCATGATCAAGGAAACTTTGATAGGAACTGAATATTTTATTATATCAAGAAATTATTGTTAAAAGTTCTAGGTGATAGTGGCATTGTGAGTTGCGATCTTTTTTTTAGGGATACATACTGAAGTATTTATAGCTGAAATTATATAATATCTGGGATCTGCTTCCAAACATTCCAGGTCAAAGGTGTGTGGAAGGAAATAGTAGGTATAGATAAAACAAGACTGACCATATATTGCCCATCCCTGAAGCTGGGCAATGGGCTCATGGGGGTTCATTTTACTGGTCTCTCTACTTACATATGATTGGAATTTTCCATAATAAAAAATGTTTTAAATCATCCTTCAAACTTTTATTTTTTAAAGATTTTATTCATTTATTTGAGAGAGAGAGAGAGAAGCGCAAACAAGAGAGCATAAGCAGGGGGAGCAGCAGAGGGAGGAGAAGTAGACTCTCCCCTGAGCAGGGAGCCTGATATGAGGCTTGATCCCGGGACCCCGAGACCACAACCTGAGCTGAAGGCAGCCGTTTAACTGACTGAGCCACCCAGGCACCCCTAAATCATCTTTTAAACTTTCAGATGACAAACTCAGAATAACCATTCTAATCGGTAGAATTTTTAAGAATTCCCATATTCGACATATTAAGGGGTTCCTTTTCCTTCCCACAGCATGAGCCAACCATACACCACCACCCCCTTACCTTTGGAACCATCTCTATATTTATAAACATGGAATCACCTACCAAGTTACTGCCATTAAGACTCTTCCCACTCTAACACCAGCTGCCCCTACAAGAATAACCAGAGACAGATACATCAACTCTGAAATAGCCTGTCTCTAGTCCCAACAAAGCCCACACTGAATGCCCTTCTCCGCCAGTTAGCCACACAGAAGCTGCTACAGGAGTCCTATAGTCAGAATGACAACTCTGGTCTGTATATTACTGCTTCCACTAACATTTATCTTTTTTAAAAGGAATTGCCTTAATTTTTTTTAGCACTAATATAATAGCTAAATTAAATATCTCAAACAAAGACTCAAAAGAATCATATAGTTTCCCTGAGTTTCTGCATTCATGAGTTTATTATTATAGCTCTCATGCTCTATTGAATTCCAGTGAATTTCCAAGAAATCTCTGCGATATCTTGTTCAGTGCCCCTATAACTACTTGAAGCTCAAAAAGATACAGGATACTAAGAAGCAAAGGAGAAAATAGGGAAGTCCTAAATTCCCAAGAGTTTCAGAGAATACCTAGAAAAAATAGTGTGAAAAACAGAAGAATGGAATATTCCATTTTGCCTAAAGATATTTCATTAATAGTGGGGCGCATGGGTGACTCAGTCCGTTAAGCACCTGCCTTAAGCTCAGGTCACTGCATTGGGCTCCCTGCTCAGCGGGGAGTCTGCTTCTCCTTGTGACCCTACCTCTCCTCGTGCGCTCTCTCTCTCTCAAATAAATTTAAAAAAAAAAAGATATTTCATTAGTAGCCAAGAGAAATACCCCTTTTATCTCAAGTAATAACATCTTCCTTTGGAAGAACAGTAATCTTTCTTTCTTTTTTTTTTTTTTTTAAGATTTTATTTTATTTATTTGAGAGAGAGAGCACAAGAGGGGGTAGGGTCAGAGGGAGAAGCAGACTCCCCACTGAGCAGGGAGCCCGATGCGGGACTTGATCCTGGTCCTCCGGGATCATGACCTGAGCCGAAGGCAGTCGCTTAATCAACTGAGCCACCCAGGTGCCCAGAACAGTAATCGTTCTAATAGTTCAATAAACTTCAACAAACTGTGTGATGGGTACTGAAAGGGAAAAATAATTATCACTGGATGATAGTTTTGATACAGGGGTCACTCAGGTAAGGAGAGAGGTGGCCTTTCCTTCTCTCACCTTCAAATTTTAAAATGGTGAATTTGGATCATGTTTGCAACCAACATTTTCAACAGACTTTCTGTATAAAAATTATTTCTATTTTTACTAATACTGTATTATAGTTTACTGCTGTGCAAATAGAAAAGTTAGAATGTTTTTTTTAAAAAATTACTTAAAGTAACAAATAAAAGAAAATTTCAAGCCTGCTATTTTCCTGTCCTTGATTGAGACATTAAATAGGTATTAGAGCCAGAAAATGACAGATGCTTTCACATCCCAGCATTAGGGCTGTAGAGTAAAGGAATACTGACGGCGCCACATCTACGTAGCCTCTTCTTTGCCTACACAGTTACACAGAACACACTAAACATTATTAAAACAATGATGAAAAATACTTGTGTTTTCCTATTCTAGTGCTTGTGTTCACTACTAGTTCATAAACTAGGATACTTTCAAGTTCCACTCTATCTTTAGCTATGTAAAATTCAATGAAAACTAATACTAAGTCGTGTTCTATTGTCTCTATGCTCCCTTTGATAGACTACAACCATGAGTATGATTTCTGTACAGTACATACTTCTCTCCCATCCTCATCTTAAGGCTCACCAACACTAAGAAGAAGATTTCTGACAGTGTGCTATCTGCCTTTCAGAGGGAGGAACATAAAGATATGGAAGAGAGCTAAACTTATTTAGGCTAACATGGAACTGAGATTTCCACATTTCCTTTCCTCTGGAATTACTAAGCAGTGATTGTTCTTCAGTTCAGCTTTAGTTCCTCTTAATATCTCCCATCATCCACCAATACAGAAAAACTTAGGGAGACTGAAGAAAAGGTGAATGACATGTCCTTGAAATCATCCTCTTCCTCCTGCTTATCATTGGGTAACTTACTCTGAAGAGGTTGTATACTTAATGTTTCCCCTAAGAACCTTGAGTAAAATATGGTTGACTCGAACAACACAGCTTTGAACTGCATGGGTCCATTCATACACAGATTTATTCAATAAATACAGTACAGTATGAGAAATGTATTTTCTCTTCCTTACAATTTAGGTAACATTTTCCTTTCTCTAGCTTACTTGATTATAAGAATACGGTATACGATGGATACAACATACAAAATATATCGATTGTTACTGGTAATGCTTCCGGTCAAAGTAGGCTATTAGTAGTTAAGTTCTGGGGGAGTCAAAAGTTATATGTGGATTTTCAACTGTGCCAGGGGTCAGTGCCCCTAACCCCTATGTTGCTCAAAAGTCAATTGTAATTTCAAGTTCCTCATTTAAGAATTTCATTAGGGGGGCCTGGCTGGCTCAGTCAGTAGAGTATGTGACTCTTGTGACTCTTGATCTCAGGGCTGTAGGTTCAAGCACCATGTTTGGTGTAGATTACTTAAAAATTTTTAAATAAATAAATAAATACATTTCATTATATTCAAGATATTTGCATATGCCTTTGAAATCTGTTGTTAACAGGGTTAATGTACATTTTGTAAGTATTAATTGCCTACTAGGTGATTAGGTACTATGCATTTGGAAAAGAAAAATCTTGGAGTAAGCCTGTTAAAGTGGGAAAACTGAGTAACCCACTATCTTGACATTCTCAGACTGGGGGAAAGGGAGTGGTAATTTCTGACATAAAAAGCAGGGATCTTCATACCCAAAGCCGAAAAATACACCCAGATGGTTTTCTTCAAAATCCCCATCTCCCACAGGTACAGAATTACATGGCGGATCACCACTCACCTTGTGCTACTGTTGACATGACCACGGATGGTGTGGAAGATACCACAGCTGTCACCGCAACTGTATTGGGAATAGGTGACGGTGCAGAACTGCTGCTGCCACTGCTGCTACTACTGACCAGGGAGGACTGTGAAGCAGTTATAACCACTGGTGGCTTCTGGGTTGTGGAAGCAATGACTGATGTTGGTACAAGCTTAGTGACTGCTGCATAGTTATGGGATTTGGAGAGAATGTTGGGCACGAAGGTTGAACTTGGTGATGTGGTCACTATAATAACCTAAGGAAGGAAAAATAAGTTATTTTCATGAACCCACTACACTACAGGTACATATAATCCAAAAATAGTTTAAGAAATATGAAGAAACAATTCATCAAAGAGAAATACACAACTAAAAATATGCGTAAGCTTTCCTTTACTAGTAATCATCAGAATTGTTTAAAAGAAACAACTTTTACCAACCAAATATTTTTAAAAACAATGTTCATTGCTGTATAAGATACACTGAAATAAGCATTTCAATTTCAATATACTGCTTAGGGAGTATAATGGGCACAATCTTTCTAGAAAGTAATTTGGATAATCATTCATTTATAAATATTTGTTGAGCATCTACTATGTGCCAGGCATGGTTCTAGATGCTGGGGATAGTGGAATGAACAAAGCAGACAAAGTTCATACTTCCATGGAGCTAAATTCTAATAGGTGGGGAGGGAAACAATAAACAAATTAGAAAAGTAAATATATGTCACATAGAGATAAATGGAAGAGACAATAAAGCAGGGTAGGAAATAAAGAATATTGGGAGTACTGTGTTATTTTTTTATATAGTATTCAATGAAAATCTTTCTGATAAGGTAACATTTGAGCAGAAACTAGAAGCAGGGTGTGAACCATATTGCCACCTTGAGGAAGTGCATCCAATGGCACAGAGAGCAGCAAATAAAAAGGCCCTCAGGCAGAAGCAAGCTTGGTATCTTCAATAAACTTCAAGGACCTAATAAATGGGATCGGAATTTAGGAAATAGTAGTAGGAGACAGAATCGGGGAAGTAATGGGGGACTAGATGATATAAGATCATGTTGATGCTATATACCCTTGATATGATATGATGAAAATGGCACATTATCAATGTGGTCTTCCTTTTAAAAACCCCAAACCTAGTTTAATCATGAGAAAAACATCAGATAAATTCCAATAGTGGAGCAGCCTACAAAATATCTGACCCGTATTCTTTAAAACTGCCAAACACAAGAGAAGTCTTGAGAAACTTTCACAGCCAAGAGGAACCTAAGAAGACATGACAAGTAAATGTAATGTGGTATCCCAGAACAGAGAAAGACAATGGGTAAAGAAATCTGAATAAACCAGACTTAATCTTAATGCATCAATACTAGTTCATTAATTACAGCAAAGTACCATAGTAATATAAAATGTTAAGAACAGTGGAAACTGAGTGTAGGGTATATGAGAACTTTCTGTACTATCTTCTCAATTTTTCTGTAAATCTAAAACTATTCTAAAAAATATTTTTTAAAAAGCATCACTCTGTCTGCTAGATGAAAAGTACAGTAGGGCAGAGGTAGTAAAAACAGCGAGACAAATTAGGATGCTCCTGGAATAAAGCAAGCAGAGATGATCGTGTTCAAAGTGTTTATAGCAGAAGTGGTGAAAAGTAAACAGATTCTGAATATACTTAAAGGTAAAACCAACAGGATTTGCTCATAGCTTGATACAGGGAATGGAGGGGAAAAAAGAAGCAGAAAGAGACTTCAAAGTTAGTCTGTATGCCTAGAAAAGTGTAGAAGATATAGGGAGACAAAGAATTTCAGATGAGAAAGAACAGGACAGAGCAAAGGACCTACAGTTGGAATCAGCCTGATGTATTTAAAAACAGAAAGCAAGCTGGTGTAGCAAAAGGCATATAGAGCAAGGAGGGGCTGGCAAAGTAAGGAGAGGCCAGATCATATTTATAAGCCAGAGTAAAGGATTTAAATTTTATACTAAGTGCAATAGGAAGCCATAGGAGGATTTTAAGTGGGGAAACAACAAAATTTGATTTATATTTTAAAAGATCATTCTAGCTGCTATGTGGTGAGTGGCAAGAATGCGAGCAGTGAGACTAGTAAAGAAACTACTGCAGTAGAACAGGCAAGAAATGATAGAGGCTGCTTGGACTGGGGTGTTAGTAGTAGAAATAAAGAGAAGTGATCACATGCAGATTCTTTTAAGAGGTAGAGTCAATAGGACTTGTTGATGTAGGGAAATGGTAGGCCTAAGGAAAATAACATAATCAAGATAACTCCTAGAGTTAATATGCATTGGATAAATTTAGATCTCCCCAAAATTTTATGACATAGACACAATTATTATCCCCATTTTACAGCTGAGAACACAAAAATCATTTACAAACCTATAGTATCACAGTTTTATTCCAGGTGGGCATAATGGTGGTATGGTGATACCCAAAACAGAGCAGAATTTCTTTTTCTTCTTTCACCAAAATTACCTCTACCTATCTAGGGCAGAAAATTGTTTTGAAAAATCCAAAGAAATTAAGGGAGAAATTCTCTTTCATTTTCACATTAGTCCTAAAGAAGGCCTGATGTTAAATCAGTTGGTCAAAATTTACTGATTATGTCCGCACTCAGTACCAACATCTCAAGGATGACTATATCATCATTATTTTGACTATATCATCATTATTATATATTTGCAGTGTCATGGAGAATTATAAGATGTAACTACATATCCACTACTTTAAGCAGTTTGTTAATTATTTGACGAGTCAAGAGAGATACCTAAGTCTTGACCAGCAAACATCTATATAGAGTTGACCAGCATACTTCTAGATAGACTCGATCAGCAAATACCTATATAGCATTATTACAAAAACAATCATAAGCCATCATATAAACTGAGAAGTAGTAGATCAATATGGTAAAAAGACCAGAAGTTTAAGAGTCGAACCTGAGCTTAATTCTGCTTGGGCCACTGACAAATGGCAGGCCCCTGGACAGGTTAAAATCTCTAGACTCCAATTTTCATCTATAAAATAGGGATAATAATACCTACCTTCCAAATCACTACAAGGATTGAATGAGATGATGATGTGAAGCATCTAACATAGTGCTAGGCACATAGCAGGTGGTCAATATTTGGCAGTCAACAAACAGTAGTTATTAGGTTACTATTACTATTCAGTAAAGGTGTTATAGATCAATTCAATCTGGAAATATATTTTATGTATTTTTTTGTTTCATTAAAAAATGTTATATATCTTTTATAATGTTATATATCTTTTTCCCAAATTCTGATACCCCTGAGAATCCAAAGAACTCATAGCTACTACCACAGTCAAACCAATTATAGTGATAATGGCAATTAGGTTTCACATTTGCCAATTCTGAACTCATAGTAGTAGCTTCCTGGAGCAGTATTTATAAGGACTCTGTGACACAGATAAGGATTCACCAAGGCTTGGCAGGAAAGTATGCCACAGTCAATTAACAATGTCTGTCATGGGCAAGGGAAGGGGAAGCATTCACACTTGTGTCAATTATTTCCAATATTAAAACTAGAGTATCCATGTAGGCTTCTAACATTAAGACAAAATTTCAGCAAAATAAATCTAGAAGTCTTTAAGAGCATGTTTTAGGCTATAGATACAAATGATAAGATTTCAGTCCGCACGTTGATTTCTGATCTGAAAAGGGGTTATCCAAAATTAGAGATCCACCTTAAAGAAAATTTACTTGTACTTTAAAGTTACGAATTACAACAGGGGAAATAAAGGTATTTTGAAACCAAGTGAACCAAACAGTGTTTATTCAGGCCATAATTCAAATTACTGACCTTCTAGCACTCACAAAAACTCCTTAAGAGTGCTGGGACTTGCACCCTAAGGATAAAATGAAAAATATCAATCAAGCACGTGAAAGCATAAAGCTGTATTTTGTTGCTTTGTTCATATAAGTGCTGCACCAATGTTATACTTAAAATGAAGGCACCACATTAACATAGGTGGAAATTTGTCTACCCTGAAAATATATGACCTATTTGAATTTGAATCAAGTCCACAAATTCATAAATAATTATACTTAATGTAAAAGTCATTTACCTAAAATAATTCCTAAGTTGACTTACATAGGATTTGTGAGAAATCCAAGGTGAATGCAATAAGGAAAACACCCTTCCAGAGATTTCAAAGAAGTCCAATAACCCAGCAGAAGGAAAACAAAAAACAAACAAAAAATCCCAAAGAATATCTATTAGTGCTACCATACTCAGCTTGTCCAAGAAGTAACAAAACCAATGGCATTGGGTACACATGAAATAAAGGAGTATAGTTTTGCCTCTGGAACATAGTAGATACTCAGTAAATATTTGTGGAATGAATGAGTCTTATTTCTAATTTAATTTGTTTTAAATGTTAATTTTTTCTGTACAGTAGGACAAATCTAAGGTTCTGAGCTTGGAATCTCCTGGTGTGGTTCATATGACCTTGGAGACAAATATGCCCTCTTATAAGCATCATATGTCTGACAACCTCGACTATCCATTCTCAATTGGCAATTCCGAAAAGAAAAAACAAAAATAAAGATACGATAAAGTCATTGAATCAAAACAAAACAAAAAATGCCAACTTCACTTACAGGTGAACCTTCCATCTTTTACAGGTACTTTTATATATGTATACCAAAGAAGATTCTAAAGTTAATAATGTTAGGTGACATTTACTAAGCATTCATCATATGCACTATGTGAAGTACTCTCCATGAATCATCTCATGTAATTATCCTGATAACTCTGGGAAGTAAGTACTATGATCTTTGTTTTATAAGGAAACTGAGGCTCAAGAGAAGTGACAGAGTCAGAACAGGAATCAGATCTATTTATTCATTTTTTTCATTCATTCATTCAACAAACATTAATTAACACCTTCTATTGTCATGAACTATTCTAAATACTAGGGAATACAGTGATGAATAAGATAAAGTCTTTACCCTCAGCAACATATATACTCTATGGGAGAAATAGGAAATGAATAAATATATAATATGATGTTAACCAGTTATAAGTATAATAAATAAAAATAAAACGAGTAAGGGAAGAGAAAGACATGGATGGGAGATGGGTGCTCTTTTAGCTATAACTTTGCTACACTATTTCTCAAATACCAAATTAAAAGAGTAGATGAGAAGGGGGAAGACAGAAGAATTACAGATAAATAAGTCCCAGCAAAAAAAAAGGCAGTAAAAAATTACAGTAAGTAGACTTATAAACTCACAGAGTATAGCAGGCTGGTAACACTTAATATAGGGCTAGTCTAGAAAGCAATAACGATACCATAATATTATATGACAAGTGATATTCAGAAGGGTTACCTTGGAGTCATCAAGTACAGATGCAAAAATCATGTTCAGTGTAACATTTAAAAAGTCATCAAAAATAGTTAATTTCTATATATTAAGGAGTAAGCTTCAGTTAACTGATGAATTCATTTTGGCAGAGCTCATTCTCAACAGTGCAAATAAATAAAACACTGTCTTACATAAAATACTAGCAAGGAAAGGGAGCTAACATTTTTTTGAGTATATACCTATTGTTGTACTTTAAAATACCCAGTCTCATTTAATCCTCACAGTAACTTTTTAAGATTCGCATTATTCTCATCTCACTGATGGGAAAACAGATTTAGAGAGACTAATTTATCTCAGGTCATACTGGAAGAGCCAGGGTTCCAACCCAGGCCTCTTTGACTACAAATACTCTTGCTTGATTTTAACACGATACCATAATGCTTCATCCTAAAACTGAAAATAGAATTATATTCCACAGATCAGCTCATTATCACTTAGGATTTACTAAGAAAATAATTTCTCATGTATTATGTAATGACATCTTTCCAGGAAACTCAAGGAGGTTCTTTAAATGAACGTTATTGTGTATCTGAGGGTTCAAAGGTGGGAAAGATCACCGGCTAAAGATAAGAAGGTACCTCCAATCCTTCCCCCAAATCCCTCTAAAATGGCATGAAGGGATTTTTTTTTAAAGGGGAAGAGGCATGCAAACCCCTAAGGTCAAAATGAAAAGAAGGTAACAGCTGTAAAGTTTTGTAAACTAGAAAACAGATAAGTAGTAATCAATCAAGCATAGCCTCGAAAGTGGAAACCAGAGAACCCCAGAAAGACTCAGGAATTGAGAGCTCAAGATATGTCTTAAGTGGGAGTAAAGGTGGCACTAGAGAGAGGAAAATTAGTTGAAAATCTATTTAAGCAGTATTTATATCTACAGCTATCCTCCCCCACCCTAAAGGAAGACTAGGAATTTATTCTCTTGAGGGAGAGGTTGAATCCAAGGAAATTTGCTAATACTGGGCCGAGGGAGCTGAGTGCTGTGCTACAGAGGGGTTAAGTGAAGTATATACTGAATGGTGAGACTATCCAGCCTGTTCCCTCCATTTATTCCCCAAACACTGGCAGACTGGCTAACTACTCTAAGCAGGAGACTGGAAAATTCTTCTCTGAGGAAATCTGACCAGTCCATGATAAAGCCCTAATGAGAGTGATAACTGATAGAGATAAAGGGGTAGTGGGTTTTTCTCAACGAAACAGCCCAGCTAGGTCAACCTACAATGAAAGTCACCAGCCAACATGCCCCACTCTACACATACAGCTTTCTGTCAGCTTTTAGTGCCCATAATCAAATATAAGCAGACAGCCAGCCAGCATTCAAGAAAACTAAAATGAAACAGATCAAAACAAATAGATAAAAGGAACTTACAGGTAGGAGAGAAAACATGAAAGAATAAAACATCAAAAAAAGTCATGAATATCATCAGAATATAGTGATTTTATGAAAGAACAGGATGCTGGTTTTTTTTTTTTCTTTAAAAAAAGGGAACTTTCAGAGATCAAGAAAGAATTACCAGAAATTTAAAGTATGATAGCAAAAATGACAAATCCAGAAAAGTAGTGAAGGATAACATGAAAGGATAGAGAAAATAATACTTACAGAGCATTTACTATGTGCTAGGCCCTATTCTAACAGTTTTATATTTATTATCTCATTTATTTATACCCCAAAACCTTATAGATTGTTTTCCATTTTTCGAATGAGAAAACTTAATTCCAGAATTTAGGTTCCCCAAAGTCACAAAACTAATAAGTTGCAAAAACTGAGATTCAAATTCAGAAGTCTAGTTCCAAAAACCCAGGCTTTTAACCACTGTATTACAGTAGAAAGAAAAAGCAAACAAATGGAAAATGGGAGTGAGAAAAGACAAGCAAAAGGTTCTATCCAGGCAGTTCAACATCCTAAATAGTTGATCCAAAAAGAGAGAACAGAGAAAAATCTAGAAAATAATTCAAGAAATTTCCTAGAACTGAAGGACATGAGTGTCTAGAGTGAAAGGGACCACTGAGTGTGTACCAATGGATAAAATAAAGACCCACATCAAGAAAAATTACCTTGAAATTTCAGAACTCTGAAAGTTACCAAGAGTTTTCAAAGAGAAAAGGAGGAAATTAAAATGGCATTGGGCTTCTCAAAAGCAATACTGAAGGCAACAGCCAATGGAGCAATATCTTCAAAATTCTCAGGGAAAATTACATCCAACCTAAAAAATACTTTACCTAAACCATCAAGAAAGTGGGAGAGTAAAATAAAGGCATTTTCAGTCCACTACACAAGGTATCAAAAAATTCACCTTCCATCCACACCTACATCAAGAAGCTACCAGAGGATGTTCCAGCAAATGAGTAAATAAATGAAAGAGGAATACCAGCATGCTAGTGAAGGGAGACCCCAGAAATACAGGTGTGCAACAAGCCTAGGGTGCCAACAGCATCCATATTAGTGTGGAAAGTTAGAGGGTTCTAATAACATACAACTGACAGAATATTGTTGATTTGAACATACTGAGAAAAGTTTAGGAAAGAACTAATGATAGCATACAAAGAATAAAAAAAGAAGGCAACAGTAATTATGCACTTAATCATATCCTTCCTGTCTTCTATAAAACACCCACTTCTGACAACTTTGTTACTCTGGCAAAGTAAAAACTGAGTTCCTAAAGGTAAAGTTATCCATATATAGGTCAAAAAAAATTTTAGTTTTTTCCCAAATGGCATTACAATAATAAAACAGAACAAAAGTCTTAGAAGTATGAGATCTGCTGGCTGCGTGACATTAGGCAAGTCATTTGGCATCTCTGAGCCTCATCTACAAAAAGTGAATTAATAAGGGGCGCCTGGGTGGCTCAGTCGTTAAGCGTCTGCCTTCGGCTCAGGTCATGATCCCAGGGTCCTGGGATCGAGCCCCGCATCGGGCTCCCTGCTCGGCAGGAAGCCTGCTTCTCCCTCTCCCACTCCCCCTGCTTGTGTTCCCTCTCTCGCTGTGTCTCTCTGTCAAATAAATAAATAAAATCTTTAAAAAAAAAAAAAAGTGAATTAATAATACCTATCCCAAGGGTGATAGGTATTATTCTGTGCAGAATTAAAGTAAGAGACCTGATCATTCCCAGCATAATGCCAAGCACATAGTAAGCACTCAGTGCATGTTTGTTAAATCTGAATCATATTGACTGAAAGAAATGGAAACAGCAATCATCAGACAGAGACTCCCTCCTTCACATACCTTTTGTGTTGTTGTGTTTGTCGTCTGTGTTGATGGTTTGGTGAAGGTTATTTTCACAGGAGACATGTGGGGTGGTAAGGAGTTGGCAATGCTCTGCATGATGTTGCTCATCTTGGGACTGCCACTCACAGGCACAGTGATCGTCTTTGAGACCGGAACAACAGCCTTTGGAACTTCCTTTAGGACAACAGGGGAGGAGCTAGAAGAATTTGTTCGCCTTCGTTTTCTGGGTTTTTCATCTTCATCTGAACAGCTAACACCTGAAAGGCAATGACAGTTTTGTTGTATTTATCACAATCTAACCCTGCATTTTATACTTCATTTTAAATCTTTGTGTCATCAGCCATCCTTGACCTCTCCCTTTGCCTCAGCCCCAAACAGTAAGTCCTATCAATCCTCCCTCAGAAGTTTTCTCTGAATGCCTTTCCTCCTTTCTTTAACCCTGTGGCTATGTCAGGCCTTCTTATCTCCTGCCTGTATTTTAGCAACCTCCTAAAAGATGTCCATGCTTCGAATCACTCCACTTCTACACTCCATCCTACTGCCAGTTACAGAATCTCATACCTAATTATGTCAATGCCTTGCCTTAAATCCTTAAGTAGTTTTTATCTCCCTACAAGATGAGGCACTTAAATCATTACTACATCATTCAAGGTTCTACAGCTTTCCAAGAACACAATACAGCTGACCTTCAAACACAAGTTTGAACTGCACAGGTCCACTAATATGTGTATTTTTTTTGATAAATACAGTATATTACTATAAATGTTTCTCTTTCCTCTTATGATTTTCTTAGTAACATTTTCTTTTTTCTAGCTTACTTTATTGTATGAATACAGTATATAATACATATACAAAATATGTGTTAGTCATCTGCTTATGTTATCAGCAAGACTTCTGGTCCACTATAGACTATTAGTATTTAAGTTTTTGGGGAGTCAAGTTATATGCAGATTTTCGACTGCACAAGGAGTCAGCAACCCTAAGCCCCACATTGCTCAAGGGTCAACTATATCCTACTCTACCCAACCCTGTGCACCCTTATAATCCCAGTACACTGAAGTGCTCACGATTCCCCAAAGCCACCTTAACATATTCTATACAACCAGAGTCTCCAAACACTATTGTTCTTTGGGGAATACTACCTACCAACAATGAACTCTTCATCATCCTGCAAACCATCTCCTCAGTGACACTCTCCTTACTCCTCTAAGCAAAACTAATCCACATCTCTGAGCTTAAGCACTTTGTATATTCTCTTCTTTATCACTCACCCCATGGCAATGTGGCTGCTGGTCTGCACATCTCCCATTATTAAGGGGCTCCCAGAGGGCGATGACTAAGACTTACTGGTTTGTTTCCCCAGTACAGTGCCTTGCACATATGAAGCTAGATTAATGAACAATTATATCTCAAACTAATGTTGCCTGTGTGACTTCTGAGAATAAAGCAATAAACTTCCTATTATTTTAAACTACATTTTATGTTTAAAGGTTTCCTCGGGTTTGGGATTCACTTTCAGTGTTTTAAAAAATTATCAAAAAAAAAAGGGGGGCGCCTGAGTGGCTCAGATCGTTGAGCGTCTGCCTTCGGCTCGGGTCATGATCCCGGGGTCCTGGGATCAAGCCCCGCATCGGGCTCCCTGCTTGGCGGGCAGCCTGCTTCTCCCTCATCCTCCTACTGTTCCCCCAGCTTGTGCTCTCTTGCTCTCTCTGTCAAATAAATAAATAAAATCTTAAAAAAAAAAAAAATAGATCGCGGGGCGCCTGACTGGCTCAGATGGAACACACGACTCTCAATCTTAGGGTCGGGAGTTCAAGCCCCATGTTGGGTGTTGAGATTACTAAAAGGAAAAAAAAAAAGAATTTAAAAAAATAGATCTCTTACAGTCACCTTGGCTAAATCTACAGAAATCACTTGATCTTAGCCAAAAGGCTGAGAAGTGATTAAATCTAGAGAAATCAGATATAAACTTAATAGTTCCAGATTCTTAGTTTTTTCTTTATGAACTAAAGCCTCAACTATTTTTGTAGACTTTTTTTTTAAATCAAGTGAGAAACATAAATCCTTCCAACATTCATAGGAAATCTCTACAAAGCAGACAAAAAAAAAGTATACAGCATGACTCATGGAATTAATAAACTATAACTCCTTATACCACCTTCAGTTTTTAGACTTTAATTTAAATAAGGCTGACAATGACCTAAAATCATTCCTAAAACAGCAAACTCTACCTCTAAAAGTTACAAAGAAATCAAGTTTATAACTATATTGAGAAAAATGAAAATCAAGTACTAATAATCTCCAGCTGATAACAAAAGCAAAACAATACTGACATAACAGACACTAATACCAAAAAATGACCTGGACATTAAACTGTTTCACAGGATAGAATCAAGGGGCTAAAAACTGCAAATAAACTTCAAAAGCTTATAGTCAACTAAAAATATAAAAGATGGACTCCCCAGATACATCACTGAAAGTAACAGCTGGATGATATACTATATAAATAATTTTTTAAAAAACATTAAAAATTACACTTACAGGAGTAAACACTGCATAAATCACATAAGCACATTTCTTCAGTTTCCATTCACATTTCTAGTCCATGACAATCAAAACAAGTGAATACTTGGAAGATAGCACTGTTCAAGGCAGATTTCCCACAGAGAACAAAAAAGAAGTAATTTCTCAACCCCCAGAACTGATTAAAAAGCAATATATACCTAGTCACGTGTAAAGAAAGGAATTTACAACCTTCAAAAACTAACCACTGCTAATAGCCAGTGGACCGATGATTTAATCCAGGAAGGCAGATCTAATCAGAGCCTATGTTGCAGCATTTAGCCAAGATGGCCCTGATAACACTGAGAATATCACTTACTTTTGACATAAACAGTACTTCCACTTGGCAAGACAACTACATTGGAGGCAGGACTGGCAGGTCTTGGAGACTTAACCGTCGCTATGCTGCCACTTGGAACAGGGGTAGAGGTTGGGGTTGACGTGGTACTTGTGTAGGAATAGCAAACCACTACTGAAGGAACGATAAAAAAGTTTGCTGTTAACTTTCACCAAAACTGTCCACGCATATACATAAAAATATTTTTACTGCAGGCCAATTTTAACATTTTCATGTGATCAGAAGTTAGAGGCCATTACTAGGTCCATTAAGTTAAAAGGTATTAATAACCCTTCCAGAAAATCATCACTTCACTGGGTTTTCCTCAAGTATTTAACAGCTGGTCTACAGGTGACTTTGCCAATGGAGAAGAGCACAATTACAAAGAAATCCAGTTTAAAACTATACGAAGAAAAATAAAAATAATTTTTCATTCATGGCAGGAGTTAGACAAAAGGCACGTACTTGTATTCCCTTTTAATACTGATAGCAGCACCAATGATGGAGTGATGCATAATTTTTCCCTAACCATGGCAATTTCCAACTTGGCTACTGGGGGGGGAACCACAGCAAGGTTACTTTATTATAAAACAACTTACTAGTCACTTGCCATCCAAGCAGTGCAACAATAACTCAACTAAAGTAATGACAACATTATATGTCAATTTCTTGAATAACAACAAGAAGCAAGAATAGTTCATAATGCACCATTTACTGAGTACCATGCACTATGCTAAATGCTTTCCATATATTAGCACTAACTCTCACAGCACCACATCCTCCTTTTAAAGATGAGGAACCTAGGGTTCACAGAAGCTAAGAGTTGCTGGAGGTCACATAGCTAGGAAATGGCTAACTAGGACTCAAACACAGATTTGACTATTGGCAATCCCATATTCTTTTCCCTCTACCAGACAGCTGGTGGACAGAAAAGGTAAAAGTGGGAAGAGAAGAAAGATACCTCTCCTACAACAAAGAAAACAGGAACTGAGTGGAGGCCAAATTTGTACATTGGTACCTGTCTCTCTCTAAATATAGCTTCCTTCAGCCTAAAACAGAGCCTGGCATGCATGAAGAGTGTCTCATTCTGCTCCACGACCCACTGATAATCAAGAAATGACAATTCCCCAAAGTAATCTGACAACTTCATTATTTTCAGGGTTATTTTCAAGCAACACCAAACTAAGCTACTAGAATCAATCCAAATATGCACTCTCAAATTTAACATTACTCTTGGCAGCCTCAAGAGAATTCAAGAATTTTTAAAGCACGTGTCAATTACTAGATTAAATAACAGTAAGAAAGCCTTCTCTTCTGCCAGGTAATCCCTAATGGATTCAGAACACTGACTAGAACAGAGAAGCACCATATACATAGATTCCAGAAGATAAAACAGAGTTTTATTGTCTAATCAGTTAGGCATCTTTCTCCAGCAGGTAAATGACTTCCATCATTTATTTTCCATGTCACCCATTAAGGCCTTTTATCCACTTCTAACAAGATACACTGATAGCAAAAATTCACTCCAAGAAGGCTTTTTCCAATTTTGTGATTAACAGAACTCACACTTTGAAAAGGGAAATCTGGTTTCGGCTGAGACTAAAAACATGGCAGTTTCTAGTTTCAAAATAAGAGTTGCTCACTGTGTTTTGTAACCTTCATACACTGGGATTAAAACAGATGAAACTGATGAAAACAGGACACCTTTCCTTGAAGAATCTGAGAAAAGTCGTCTCTACACACAGAAGTAGTTTTCTACTCACCTTCCTTGCTTCCTGTTTCTGCAGGCACTGGAAGAGATGCATTGTGCTGGATAGCTGCATTGGCAACAGCGTTAGCTGTTACAGTGAAGGCAGTTTGGGGAACCAACCGGGGCATCAGTGGAACCAAGCGACGACCCTCAATGGACCACTCTGAAGAGCTATTAGGTCCAGACATACTAAACAAAAAAGAAAATGCTACTACAAGGGTTCTCAATCACTAAAAATGAGTCAACTATTTTCTCAAACAAATATAACTTTTTAAATTATAAAAAGTACCCTGAGTGAATAGGAGAGGCTTTATTTTAAGCAAGCAAAATGAAAATTATGAGTAATTATCAGAATTTAAGGGATTTCACACACACTTAAGTTCTTACACATTTTATTCTATAATATAAATCTTATAATTAACACAACTGAAACTATGAAAAATTTTCCTATGCCTTCTAAATATTGACATTATTTTCATTAGTTTAAATCTGGCATTGCTAATGAAAACTAGTACATCTACTAACTTTTAGAACTTAATTTTGTAATTCAACTAAAAAGGTAAAAAGTACTCGTAATTTTTAAATTAGATTTTCTTTAATAATTGAGGATAGAATTCACTGAACCTTTGCAAAAATGATCTAACTGCCTGCATGGCCAGAGGTTCTAAGGCTTTCAAACAAGGGAAACTGAGGCAGTAAACGAGGGAGACTAAGTATGGAGGGAGAGAAGTGGGCTGTATATATCACTGCATGTGTCATTGATGATGTGTTACATTAGTATCCTTCCTGTTAAAAAATAGACTAGGTCTGAGGTCACTGGAAGAAACCTGCCACTACTACTTTAATTTTACTTATATCACTCTTCATTCTAAGAAATATTTGAGGCCATGGAACTATCCCCCTAAGCAGACACTATTCTGTTTCTCTATCTAAACCTGAGTAAATATCCCAGGAATCCCACTGAAATATGGTTGAAATATGAAAAGACAATTTTGTCACTTCTCTTGATTTGGCTCCACAAAAGGCAGTTACATCACTTCTCCTGATGATTAGTGTCAAGGTTTAAAATTTACCCAGAATCAATTAATCAACCTTTTTACTAAATCAGAAATATTTCTGCACCTTTTCCAAACTGAAGATTTTCTATAACCAAATCTAGGGCTTAAGACTCGAAATGTCCACTGATTCTTCATATTTAGATAGCGTACACAAAAGCCCTTGTTAGTGGATAATGGAATAATGATGATGATGGTGATGGTGATGGTAGTTAACATCAACTAAACACTTTTTCTACGTCCGGCACTGTTTTAAACATTTTCTATGTATTAACTCATAATTCTCTCAATAATCCTATGAAATTGGTAATATTATTATCTCCATTTTGTGCATAGAGAAACTGAGTCACTGAGAGGTTAAATAACTTCCCTAAGGTCACACAGCCACTAAATGTTTCCTTCAACAAGCATACATCATAATACTGACATGTGCCACACCACAAGTAGAAAGTATAAAACTTTTCAAAAGGGTTTTATGTCTAATATTTGCCTTTGATTTATACTAATTGGGCACCGTTGTCTAATTACGACCAACTTTCACTGAATGGAACAAATAAATTACTTTACAACTTGAGAAGGATTTACATTCAGTTCAGAAAGGAATTTCTAGGAGCTGATGAATCTAGTTGGGTTACTATGAGAAATTTGCAAACTGTTTAACCAGTCCTACCTAAAACAAGGGAAAGAAGAGTTCCTAAAACCCCAATTAACTTCATAAATTTGTTATCACATCATCTCCAATTTGACACTAGTTCTGAAACAGAGAATGGTATAAACAAGAAAAGAGAAACAGAAGTGGGCTACGGCTAATTGTCAAAGGAAAAAATTCTAAAAGCTATTTAGCGTTTTCTTGGCTTACTCCGACTTTGCTATCATTTTTTTAGAACATCACTAGTATATTTGCTAGGTGATTGTTTACACACAAATAAAGTGATGTCTACACTTACCTGGTGCATTGTTTAAATGGTGGCAGAAATTATGGAAGATCAATAATTTAAAACACATGAATATTTGCTATTGAAAAGACAGAATTTGCAGTGCAAAAGATACAACTGCAACTTTTAAAAAGATCTGTAAATCTTCCAAATTTCTACTCATGCAAACATGCTCAAATTTTTTTTAAGTGAGTGAAAAATTATGTTAGAATTAGATCAAAAATTCCTATTTGCTTAGTAATGAGGGTGTAAATATGCATTAGTTGCACAAATCATCTAAACTGAATTTTACAGATTTTTGTAAACATCTTACTCCAGGGCTTCCCTGGAGTACCTAAGTTTCAATGTAAGGATCGCTTCTCTATTTAGATTAAGGATGGCAAGGGAGGGTAGAAACCTTGCTCCAGCCCCTTTCCTGAGAAATCTAACATGATACTAATGAAACTACCTTGGCCCTCACATCCTTTGGTATGCAGGGCACCGGAAAAAAAATCTTTACCCTCACATAGAAACTCACACAGTATCCTATAAATGTCTGGCTTATGGGGAAGGAGTTTAAGAGAAGAGTAATTCCAGATAGCCACTTTCTTTGAATACTAGAGACAATGCTGGCAAGAGTGGCACAATTAAAAACTCTGAAGCCCCTTGACATTCCAGGCTTTAATATTATAATATTCTGACATGTTTCAAAACTGAATTCGAGTATCAAACTTAATATATGGTCTGGTGCCAAATAATAAACATGTGTTATGCTTCAGGCCATAAGCAAGGCTTTTCTTTGATCCCAGACACCCTGCTCCTTTTGTTTCCACCTCCTTTGTGCTCAATCTTCTCGGCTTTCTCTTTACCTTTCAACCACATTCCTTCAGGCCTAAGCTGCGATTTTGAGTGGGGGAGGGAAGGGAGAGGAGAAAGGGAATGCAGTCAGTTCAGATGCATTCCTCCTTGGCTCCAGTTGCTTTTTTCAGGCTCAGAGTATGAAGCCATCCTATAGATAATCTTTGGATTTAGGTTCTGTTGCTACTTATGAGGGAAACAGGGCAGAGGAGATGTAGAGAATAAGGGATCTATGCCTTCCTCACCATTCCGCACTCACCGACCCCTGGGCTCAACAAGTAAAATACGACACCTAGTCAAACTAAAACCACAGCATAAAATATTAAAATAAGAGTACAGAAAGACCTAAGAAGCTTTTAAAATTATATGCTGAAGTAAACTCTTCAGAAAATTAAACTCATGTATTAAAGAAATCAGAAAGGAGAGAAAAAAGGAAACACAGGCAGATAGAAGCCAACTCTCAATTATCCATGCTAATAGAGAGAGGAGGGAAAGGGAGAGGTCAAACAGATTAAAGAAATCCACATATTATCCAAAAATACTTTGGCAAATACTTGTAAATTCTTCTACCAAGCCATTTCCAGGACAACTAACAAGCAGTAAAATGACTAATTAAAATTTTCACCTCCTCTCCCTTCCCACCCTCTGACTAGAGGTACTCCCAAGCAGCAAAATGGCTAAAGGGTGGGCAATATTAGGAGGGGGAGGAGGGGAAGAGAAGGAAAAGCAGAGGGCACGGTTAATTCATAAATGGGAATATGTGCCCCTGAATAATTGAGAGCTTCAATTTTGAAATAATACAAGAAAAAGCCTGAAATAATAATAACCTATTTGCATACCTGTAACTTGGTCTTTCACCCAAATATAAGGATAAATTCATTCTTTAAAGGGGAAAAAAGGAAAAGGAGACTAAATAAATGTTATCCTTTAAGTATGAAACTGATGCATCAACTTACAACTAATTGACCCACAATATTTTTCCAATGCTTTTAAGGTACTAACTTTGTCTCTAAGTGCCTCTGAATGTAAGCTATTGTTTACTACTTTATTATCTAGCACATAAGTTTCCTATTACCATCTCAAATTAGAATCTAGGTTCAGTTATTATTTTCAGACCATCCCAATTCAAAAGTTTAGAGCAAATTAAAGAAGGAACACATTAATATTTGAATGTTTCAACCATGTTGGCCTGACAACTAAATACTTAATGTCTCTAGTGGAAAAATTCCAAACTTCTACAGTGCATACATACCTACCACTGAAAAATCTCAAAATCCAGATACCTAAACTTTCAAACTACGCAGCTAAAAAGGTAGCACCCCATTTTATAAGTTAAGTAAAATGAGGAATAGCAAAGCACAACATGAAGCTAATGGATCTACAAGGTCAATTCAAATACTGCCAGTTGGTTTAAACACACTATTTATCACACTATGGAACTGCACTGAATTTTTTCCTTTAGTTTTATTTCACATTAAAACATAAAAATAAAAAATAAATGAGTAATACTGTAATATATTTTATTTTTAATGAAATGCTCCTGTCATCTTGCATTAACATTTAAGGATAATTTCTGTTCCTTTCTATTCTTTAGGAGGCACTATCTCCATTCGTATTCTACTAATGTTTGATCCCTGCCCTTAGTCCTCCACCACCCTCCACCCCATCTGTCACACAGTTATAATGATCTGAAAACAATTTGATAAGAATCCTTTATAAATTTTATTTTGTTGGCTTTTTTAAAGTAAATTAAGATATATTCATATTTCTTAAAAGCAGAATATATATTCTTACAATCTTTTTTCTGAATCTCAAAATACATGAAATATTAGTCAGGTAGAAAGAAAATTTAAAATGCCTATTTATAAAGCAATATATATACCACATACCATTACAAAGAACCTCTAAGGGGTGTCAAATTAGGGGAGCATACCACTTTATTACTGAACTTTGCTTTAAGTAAGTGAATCATCTGCTAAACTGTGGTGGCCTTTTATGCAGAGATCACATTGTAACTGGATTTGACCTGAGTACTTAAAGCTTGCCTAACCAAATGCAAAAACATAACCAACTGAATAAACAGTTAATACCTCTATGGTCAGGATCCCTGAGCACAGAAATATTACTATTAAGATAAAAGACTCAGGAATCTGCTATACAATAGGAAGACTGTTTCAAAATTATGTTATACTACGTCATAAAAAAATCAGGGGTTGTATGACTAATGGCTTACTTATGTGCAATTGTTGTTAACCGTTCATCGTTTACTGCTCTCCGAACTTCAGCACGGTGGCGCTCTGTTGAGATGCTATGAAAAAAAATAGCCATTATAGAACTCTGCCAAGCAGGCAGCTCTTTTCTACACTTTTATTCATGTTTAAGTCAACATTTTGCTTGGGGAAGAGAGGGGACAAGATTGATTTGTGAAAAGATATAGACGGGGCCTAAAATATATCTTCAGATGCTTTCATTAAAATCACAGAAAAGGGTTCATAGTGATTCTGTGTAACTGCAGAGAGAATTAGTTGCAAATTAAAAATCACAGGAAGACAAATTAGCTTGATATCAAGTCATTACTTCCAAAACTCGGAAATGTCAGACCATGTTCAAGATTAGCAGAGGTTCCTGTTATCTAAATGTGCAAACAGCCACTGAATGACCCCTAATCGTGGTTACTAAGAAGATTTTGGCACCTAGAAGAAAGTCTTCTAAAGTCTTTTTTTTTTTTTCTAAAAAAATAAAAACTAAAGTCCTTCCTAAAGCTTAAAAGTCTATAATTTTATGTTCAGTGAATTTAATAAAGAAACAAAAGTGGCAAGATAATCTGTTTCTTGTGGCTATATGCTATGAAATTTGACACCAGGACATTACTCCCTTATTACTCAACATTTCAACTATGTCTTCTACATTACACTATATTACCATTACAGTAAAAATGTGCTTATATTGATTCTGATTAAATACATATAAAGTTAACACTAAACAAGTGAAAAAAGGCTACACCCATTCCATTCGTAAATATTCAATAAAATGAGTAACCACTCTTCAAATTGTAATCTTTACTGCTTAAGCTAAATCTATACCATGGACTAAAATATGTAAGGGGCTGGAAAGAAGATTTATGAGGAAATAGAAACAACAAACAAAAAATATAGAAGTTGTTAAATATGAAGACAATAAGATTAAGGATTTGATTTAATAATATCCCTGTATTAATGTCAACCAAATACAGGAAAAGACTCTTCCCTATTTTCATTTAAAAAAAAAAAGGACAAAATGGTTTTAAATATAGAAAGGAAACTTCAGTTAAAACAGAGTATTTTCTGAGAAAGCTCAAGATGTCAGAATGGATCAAGACAAGGTATCAAAGAATTCCATTCAGTAGAATTGTTAATGGCTTCAAGGCCACTCTAGCAGGACACTGAGGGGATAAACTATCCACAGGGCTATGACTATATAAAAACCACTTATTTCTATAAATTAAAACAACAACTTCCTAGTGTCTCCTTCTCCCCTCCCAACAAACGCCACGGGCCACTCCAAGTCTTCAGATCTTGTTGCTACCAACTCTTCTTTCCTTCACCCATATCAAAAATACCTCCCCTCCCCAGGTGACCCAAACCTAAAATAACCTGCCTTAAACCCTTTCTGATTACAGAATAAATGATAAATTACATAACTTTCTGCAACAAAGCACACAACTGGGATGAGATATCTAAGCACCAACAACTGGAAAACCTCTGTCTTCAACTTGAGAATGAAAAGTATTAAAACTCCTCAAAATGAAATTTCTAGAGTCATATCTCACAAACTTTTATAATTTACCTAAGAACTTTTGAGAGTTCTCCGAGAAGATCTTTCTTTTCCTTGGTGAGATCCCCCTGTGCCCGAAGTGCACTGATAACTCCAGCATATGCCTCCAATTCTAGAAGAAGAAAATTATTTTATCAAGATAGGCCTTCAATATTTTAATACTGTGGCTATATATAGTGAAACTACAGAGCAAAAAAACCTAGAAATCAGTAAAAAAAATCAATACACAAAATTTTAGAAGTTCCTCTCAAAAATTTTATCTAAGAGCATTGATTAAAATGTAGCTTTCATAATTGTATATCTCTTTTTTATTGCCTCACAGAAGTCATGTGTACAAAGTGTTTAGGTAGAAAAATCTAACGGTAAATATTTTATCTCACACATTATCAATGAAGAACATTTAACTCAGATGCTACCAACAATTGGGAACAGGCTCCAAGTGATACAAGGCTGATAAGAGAAATTTTTAGCTTTACTGACAGGTACCTACCATCACCAATCCTTGAAATAATTCCTTAGCCCTGCCTTGAATCAAACTACATTCTCCTGGGGTTGAGAATACCATGAGTACTGCACAATAGAAAAACTCCTAGAACAAGAGTCAAATGACCAGATTCTGGCTCCAGCACTCCCACTTAACTAGTTGTGTGACCTTGGGCAAGTTCTTTCTCACCCTTGAGCCTCAATTTCTTTATCTAGAAGAGACATCGAAGGTATCTTCCAGATCTAAGATCCTCTGCATCTACCATGGAAATGACTGAGACCGGTTAGGAAACATCAGTTGCTCTTATAGCAACCAGGATATAATATATTGAACCCTAGTGCCAGACAGTTTCATTTCACTATCTTTCCACAGCAACAACCATTATGAAATGAAACTGTCAGTCTCCAATACTGGTTAAAATATAAAAGCAAAAAGTCCTCACTGGCTCCCAATGAACCATGCCTGCCTCCCAGCACACTCCTTGGGAACTGTACTACTTTTGTATAGTCCCTTCCCACACTGACTCTGGGCTTGGCATGTGACTTGCTTTGGCCAGTGGAACATGAGCATACATGATACAAATAGAAGCTCACTACCATTTGCCTCCAGAGCCTTGCTGTCTTGGAACCTTGAGATAACCAAGCTGTGAAGAAGCCCAGGATGAAAGGCCACATGGAGAGAGGCCCAGCCATCTGAGCTAAGCCCAGTAAACCAACTAAGCTACCAGCAGAATACAGCCACATGAGAGAGCTCAGGCAAAACCAGCAACCACAGAATCAAAAAAATAAATAAAATAGTTATTTTAAGCCATTAACACTATGAGACAGGCATATCTAAACAAAACAGAATGATGGGAAATAAGTGTCCAAACTACAGTTATCTTCTTAGTCAATTCAAGTTGCTACTAGTATTTGGTATATCCCAAGGCCTGACACACAAATAATGAAGGTATACATATCTGCATCCTAGGTACTACACCAATAATAAACTAGTAGCCTTGTTTAGTTCTTGTTATTTACAGTTCTGAGAGTAAAAAAAAAAAAAGAGTGAGCTGACTATATTAAACAGAAATATCTGATCCATGGGGCGCCTGGGTGGCTCAGTCAGTTGGGCGTCTGCCTTCGGCTCAGGTTGTGATCCCAGAGTCCTAGGATCGAGGCCCCATATCACATCCCTGCATCGCACAGGGCTCCCTGCTCAATAGGGAGTCTTGCTTCTCCCTTTCCCTCTGCTCCTCCTCCCTGCTCGCTAGAAAGAAATGCCTGATCCAAATGAATTATCCCATGTGTAAACATCTTGCATATTCAATCTATGCTGAATACTATGTAGATGTTTCATGGGGTCTCTCTGGAAGGACAAAGCTTGCCTGCTCTGAATAGTAAAGGAAATACTTAGTACCACGAAACATATATTTCAGCTTTTATCAGGCCCCAAAGTAGAGTTCAGAAAGGCACTGGGGATAACCAACTAAGAAATCACTATACTAAAAATTTATGCCTCATTTATGGAATATTTTATTCAACAGATCAGTACTGAGTCCTATTATATATACCAGATAGTATGTTAAATCCTGCCTTCAAGGAGTTTACTCTAGAATAAAGCTACAGTGAAACAAGTCATCAGACAATGATGATACAGTTTATAATACAGTGGTAAAAGCAAAGAGAAGAAACACATCATCCAGTCTAGAAGCATAAGCTTTAATCAGAAAGAGAAGTGTGCTCTAAGCAAGCAGGAGGAAAAAACCCACAAATATGCAAAAGGAATACAGTAAAAGAGCAAATAATGTCTCATATAGACATCAAACTTCCAGTAACAGTCGGTGACTATTTTCGGAGTTTTACTTTAGGGAAAGTAAAAATATGTATTTGGGGACGCCTGGGTGGCTCAGTTGGTTAAGCGACTGCCTTCGGCTCAGGTCATGATCCTGGAGTCCCGGGATCAAGTCCCGCATCGGGCTCCCTGCTCGGCGGGGAGCCTGCTTCTCCCTCTGACCCTCCCCCATCTCGTGCTCTCTCTCTCTGTCTCATTCTCTCTCAAGTAAATAAATAAAAAAAAATCTTTAAAAAAAATATATATATTTGGATAGTCACTAACTCAAACCAAACTTAATTGCACATTACTACTACTACTACAAGGTACCATGGAGAATATTTATATGAATAAAACAAAGTCCCTATCCTCAGGTATTTAAATTCCAAGAAGAGATGCATATACAGGAATAAAGAAGGATAAAAATGGAAAAGTAGTTTGGGGCCAGACTAAGCCTCTAATTTCAGGCTAAAAAGTTCTTATTTGATAGAGGACTCGGTAGTTGATTGAATGTGGAAAGAACAGCAGAAGGAAAGGAATCAGATTTTGTAGTTTGCAAGATATTTAGGAGAAGGGCAATACCATAAAAAGAAATGGAGAGGTCAGAGAGAGGAAATGGTATGAGGAAAAAGAAAAAGAAGTTCACTTTTGGCCTATGCAATTTATGGTGATCAAGATACTACTTCAGAAAGATTGAAATTAACCAAAGAAATGCGGCAAAGGTTTTTGACATTTCAAGTCTCATTCCAAGTCTAACTAAAAAGTCATGGACAAAAGTAAGAGGTGGTAACCTCACACAAAACTGGGACTCAGACCACAGTTATCATAGTCACACAATCCGAGGCACTTCCTCCATTCTCCAGAAATTCACTCACGGTAAAGAACCTTTACTGGCTTCCCAACCTCCTTGACATTTGATTTCCATTTTGATGGGTATCCTCAGATCCTGACAAATATCAAACTTAGCTGAATTTCTGGTATTTTTGGTGCCGTTCTATTGTAGTGTTCACTCTAATGACACATAACTATAATAAAAGATACATGCAAACACCACGGAAAACAAAAAGATTTCCCAACCACTCTATAAAGTCCTCAACATTCCACTTAAACAAATCAGCCGTTCAATTATAATATAGTCTGTGAAGCCCCATGTTGGAAAGGTTTTTAAAAAATAAGGCAGGGGAAAGGCAGGATAGAAGGAGGGAAGCATTTATCCATCACTGGTATGTTCAGTATATTATTAAAAAAATTCTCGACCCGAGTTTTTATATTTAAGTAAAATTTAAATGTTTAGTATTCTATGTTAAATGATTTATAACTATTTTTAAAAGAACAAAGCTAATTCTTAAAATATTTTAAGTTAATTCTTAAATACAGTACTTTCTCTAAACTTTGGACCTAGAGCTAAGTGTTTGAAGGCAATTCAAAAGTTTCATTGTTATGATAATGAGCCAACGGGTGGGGAGGAAGTCTTTCTGCAAATCACTATCAAGGCTCACCTCCCAAAGTGAAGGGTCATTGAAGATGACATTACCCTGTAGGAAGGCTGTTTCCTTTTGTATAGAAACAGCTCTCTAGCAACATTACCCACACAGCTCTGGCTAAAGCTAAGGATAAATTTAGACTTAAAGGTTACCATTTTTATATTTAAACATAATCTCTTGACTCAAGGCCCCAAAAGCCCAGAAACTCTAATCCAATCTACTGTAGTTGGGCTCTGTTCATCTGCAATTATTCTAGCTATGGAGTAAATACCAGTACAACTTTATAAATGGTAGCTAGCAAGCTACAGCAATTGCATGCAAGTGTGTAGAAAATCATCCTCAAATTAGTACTAAAAGTTTGGATATAAGGTTAAAGGAAAAAAATGATAATGGATGATTGCCCAAAAAAAGCTCTCTAAACATGCTAAAATACAATGCTAAGAAACAGTTTAAAATCAGAGAATCCTCCCAGTGGCCTGATGGGAAATAAAAAGGGTAAATGTTACTAGCAGACAGGACCAGGGCAGCTATGATTCAGATTTACACAAAAGAATTCCCAACAAAGATTTCCTTTGAAGATTCACCTGCAAATAAGTATGTCTGAAAGCAACTGCTCTAAAACACTATACCCTCAGATGTCAAGCACCGTGGTAGGATCCTTTTATATACAATTAATCCACATAACAAACTTATGAGGCAGATATTATTATGCTTCTTTTACAAAAGTGTCAACAGATTTAAGGAGATTAAATAAACTGTCCTTGATCTTGTGGGTCATTAGTGACAAGACCAAGACCCCAGGTCCCTCTGAATTCAAGGCCCACACTTTCCCCTTCAAAATCATAAACAAATAATTCATATCCACTTCCAAAACATTTAATGTTCTTTTTCAAATTATTTTTTCATTTACTGAGCACCCACTATGTGCTAGCTTGGGACTATAGTGGTAAAGAAGACAGCAAGGTCGTTCTTGGACCTTTTGGTCTAAAGCAGTAGTTCTCAACCAAGGATCCTCATTTGAACCACAGAATATAAAAAATGACTTGAGTAACTCTCTCAATTTTCCCAAGAATGGTACAAAACTATTACCATTCGAAATGCATAAAAAGAAGTTAGTTCACTACATACAATGGATTAGGCTTTGGATTAGTGCTAATTCTCTCCCTAAAATGCTAGCTGAGAAAGGCTGCTCTAAAGGAAAAGAAGTTCAAAATAATGAATTATAAACATAAAGCATGTTTTATTACTGATAGTAAACATAATTTAGGAAAGTCAGCATAGCTAACATTTACTTAGAATTCAGAAACAGTTTATAATTCACACATACATTCATGAAGCTTAAAAGTATGCTAAAGTAAGACTGGAATCATATTCCCTGGGTTACAGTCCTGACTCCATGACTTACTATCAGCATCACCTTGGGTTCTAAGCTTCAGTTTTGTCATCTGTAATATGGAAACACACACACAAAAATACCTACCTTTCCCACTTGAGTGAGGATTAAATAAGATAGCAAATGTAAATAACTCAGAATAGCCCAGTACCCCTCAAGAACTCTTAGCTACTATTTTTATTATTATGGTCCATAATAATCCTACTAAGTACAAAGCACTATGCTAGGCACTGGGGAAATAACAATGAGTAAGATGAAAAGTACACCTCTAAAGAATTTCTAATGCAACATGAGATATCACATCCAGGCAAACAGTCATGACAAAAACAGAAAGGGAAAAGTATCATAGAAACGCATAAATATCAAAAATGAAAATCATACCCAATTTTCTAAGAATCCTTTTGCATTCATCCCTGCTGAGATCCAAAAGGGTTGGCCACACAACAGGCATTGCTGCTTCTTTTTGGTAGCCCCAAAGAGCTTGTCTTCCCTACCAAAACAAATGAAACAAAAATCAAATTACCAAAGTACATTCAAAGGCCACTTACCTGGAAATCCACCCACTAAAAAGTAAAACCAGTAAGAACATCTCACAATCCTATTTCACCACCACACTTTTCAACTTCTGATAAACGAAGAACTAAATATTCCGCAGCTTATTATTCCAGCACAGGATAGTGGAAAGAGCACAGGTTTTAGAGTCAGACACCTCTGTTTCTAGTTGCAGCTTTCAACTCACTGGCTGGGTGATCCTGGGTAAAGTGGACTATCTGAGCAAAAGTTTTCTACATCTGTAAAACAGAGGTACTATCATCCAATTTGTCGTAAGGATTAAAGAACAGTTTGTGAAATTCTTATGATAGTGGCTGGCAAGTTGTTTAATAAATAGGTGCTACGACCTGTGTAACCTTGCGCAAGTTACCTGATTTGTGTCCGCTTTCTCACTTGTGAGTTACAAGAGATAAAATATATAAACCTCCTAGCACGTTACCTGGGCTAATGGAACTTAACAAAAAACTTTCTTCTCAAGTCTTAACAATGAACGATAAATTTACACCCTGTAATCATTAAACAATCATTTACCAAAAGTTTAGATGTCAGGAACTTACTTCATACTGGGAACTGCCTGGTCTAGAGGATAAAAAGACAACAGCGCTGGGCACTTGCACAATACCTGCTTAGCACACAGTAGATCCACTGTAAATATTTGTTAAGTAGATGAATGAAAATAGAGAAGAGTGGGTAAAATGAATGAATGAGTGAGTGAGTGAGTGAGTGAGTGAGTGAATGAATAAGCGAGCTCAATGTCTAGTCGAGAAGTCAGGCACCGAACCGTAATAACTGCTATGTCTCGTTCCAGGCACTGGGGCTGCTAACTCCAACTCTGCGCCCGGAGTTGATCCCCCCTCCTCCGACTTCCCATAGTCCTCTCAGCTACGAACCAACACAGAGCAAGGAGAACTGGACTGCGCGCCCCAGCCGGCAGGATGACATAAAGAAAAGGGGTGGGGAGGAGGAAGAAGGGGCAGAGCCAAAGGAATCCGCTCCCTCCACAAGCCAGTCCCCGCCCCCCGACAGGATCTTGGAGGCGGCCGGCGGCCGCCCGAATCAAGCACCACGTCACGGCATCCCGACGCGTCCCCGCCAGCGCACCCCACCGCGGGGCCGCAGCGCCCTGGAAATCTGGGCAGCAGTTGCGGGAGCCCGCTCTGGAGCCGGGATCTCGTGTAATCCTTCCCCTACTCAAGTGTCAAGGAGGCAAGCCCGCCCCGCCCCCTCCCCAAACACGCACTCTCTCGCAGCACCACAACAAGAGCAGCCCGCCCACCCTCCTCACCGGTGCCGCTCAGCGCCAACCCCAATGTCAAGCCCACTACCCAAGCCCTTCAAGACCAGTAGCCGGTGTCAGGGGCCCCGGCCGGCATCAGCGCCTCGCTCCCTCCTCAGCGGAGAAGACAACGGAGAGAGAGTAGGCTCGCGGACAGCCAGGCAGACGACCGAGACTCACCGGAAGGCTCCCAGAGCTGGACCCCCAGGATCCCAGCACCAGGCCTGCCAAAGTCCCCCTCAGCCCATCTCGGGGAGCCCCCACGATCCCGTTAGGAGACAACGGAGGATGGGGCTGGGCGCCCCAAGCCGGGGACCAAATGGTTGGCCCGGCGCTCCTCCAGCCTGGCTAACCTGCCAGCTCTTCCCAGCACCCTGTCTGAGAGTCACCCACCTGCCCGGCCTTTCGGGGCTCATCTAAAAGGCTCCTCCGCCAAGACTAGGGAACACCAGGAATTGGGTTTGTTTGCGGTGCCTCAGAAGGGGCAAGATGGCGACAGGCATCAGGGCGCAGGCGCACTCGCGCGCTGCCAATCGGGAGGTGTAGTTCGCCTTTCCCGCCTTTCGGAGAACCGACTCCAGAAGGCCTCCATTCTCCTAGTCCCTCTTTTCCTCCGCGTTTTGAAAGGAAAGAGGAGACATCGCGGGAGGTGCTGGGAGTTGTGGTCCGGACCCAAGCTCCCTTCTCTTTCGCTCTCGGTGTGCTGTCGCAGGCGCAAGGAAGGCCGGGATTGTAGTTTCCTTGGCTTCTCCTCCATACTCTTCTCTGGCTTCGCGCGCCTCTCCTCTGGCTGCCGTCTCCCAACCAATCGGCTGGGCTCTCTGCTACGTGTGGCGTCACACGTAGAGGCCAAAATGGCGTCGGTAGCTGGAGCTGAGGCTTTGCCGCGACCTTTACTCTAGGCGAGGTTAGGGACGATAGGAAAGCAGCTTTGTCCCTGAAGCGCCGTTGAGGATTAGGATCGGATTCCTCAGAGTCATGGGAGCAATTATCAGCGGCCTCCAGCCCCCACCAGGCGCAACTCGAGGAGAGAATCCACGCTACAAGAACCGACGTAGCGGACGTCGCAATTGCCCGAACCAAATCTGGGGGTTGCGGAGTTGCCAGTGGAGAAGGGGAACCTGAGCGTTCTCCGCTTCGAGTTTCTCCACGTGTGAAGTGGGAATGATAGTGATATCTCGTGCTTTAGCTGTCAAGGGAAGAAGGAGAAGGTATTTATTAGAGGCCCTACGACGTGGTAGGTTCATCCTTCAGCCTTTGTTCTTATTTAATCACAGAACAATTGTGTGAAGAAGTTATTGTTGCCCTTATTTTACATATGAGAAAAGGGGCCCAGTGTGTAGTTACTCGCGGCCATAAAATCGAAGCCAGTGCTTGGTATTGTGGAAGATTCAATCCAAGTTTTGTGATTGTCCTTCCTCTTAAGTTGTGTCCTTTTGGAAATGTAGGATCTGGTAAAAATGCCATGTCAAAGGGGGCTCTTAATATGCTTTCTGATACTAACAAAGTTTTCATGTAAAATGGGGTTAATCGCACCCTATGGGGATGTTGTGATACACAACGTAGAAAAAAGTTATTTGTAAATTGTGGACCACTGTGCAGAAGTGTGAGACTGGTCATATTCTTGAATGGAACTATAGATTAAAAAGAGAAAATAAATAACAGCATTTAAGTTTCTTACTACTATTTACCCATTAGCTAAAAAAATACTCTGTGAGGTCCCAGAAAATTGTTATTGTTGAAACCCAAGCCTGCTCCTCCAGAAAGTCATGAAGTGGGACAGATAATACCCAGGCCCTTCTCTCCCTCCTTGATCTTAACAATGCATTCTCCTCCATCTATTTCCCACCTGTTTTCAGGTCAATTATTTAACTTCTGGAAAGATGGGAAAAGAAACTTTAATAGGTTTTGTAGTTTAACATACATTCTTTGAGCCTCACAGCATCTCAGAGAGGTAGGTATAATTTAGATCCTCCCCCCCCCCCCCCCCCCCCCCCCCCCCGCCCACAAACACTTCTGAATGAGGAAAACACAGAAGTTGAAGAACTCACCCAGTTTCACAAAGCTAGGAATTGAAGGGAGCTGGACTTTATAACCCTCAGTCTTCTGACTACCAAGTGTCTTCCTCTACAACAAATGTCAAGGTGACAGTAATGGAGTAGAAATGGAAAGACAAGCTGCTTATAAAACTGACTCTGACCATAATAAGTAGCATATAAGTCAAGAATTATAGCTTACTCTTGTGCTTACCTGGTGCCAAGTATTTTTAAAATAAGCATCTCACGTATAATTCATTTAGACCGTAAAATTTTATGAGGTAGAAACTATTATGTCTAATTACAAATGAGAAAACCGAGGCACAGGAAGGAGGTTAAATAGCTTACCTAGGGTCATACATTCTAAGTAAATGGTAAAGCCAGGACTTAAACCCAAGCAGCTTGACTCCAGTGTCTGCTCTAGACCAGTGGTTCTCAAACTTTTCATGTTCAGTAGGAATCACCTGAGGATCTTGTTAAAAATGCAAATTTTGACTGAGTTATGTCTGGATAGGGCCTAAGATTGTATATTTCTTTTTTTTTTTTTAATTTTTTTTTTTTTTTTAAGATTTTATTTATTTGCAAGAGAGAGAATGAGAGACAGAGAGCATGAGAGGGAGGAGGGTCAGAGGGAGAAGCAGACTCCCTGCTGAGCAGGGAGCCTGATGTGGGACTCGATCCCAGGACTCCAGGATCATGACCTGAGCCGAAGGCAGTCGCTTAACCAACTGAGCCACCCAGGCGCCCAAGATTGTATATTTCTTTTTTTTTTTTTTTTTTTAAGATTTTATTTATTTATTTGAGAGAGAGAGAATGAGAGACAGAGAGCACGAGAGGGAAGAGGGCAGAGGGAGAAGCAGACCCCCTGCTCAGCAGGGAGCCCGATGCGGGACTCGATCCCGGGACTCCAGGATCATGACCTGAGCCGAAGGCAGTCGCTTAATCAACTGAGCCACCCAGGCGCCCAAGATTGTATATTTCTAATAAGCTCTCAATCTACCACATATCTTCTCTTTTCTCCTAACTATATATATTTGTATTTGTGGCCAGAATCTGCCTTCTCCATTCTGCCTCTGATTGCTCCATGTTCCCAAATATTCCCAATATTAAATTCTCTTCCTTAAGGGTCAGAGTCAAACTTTACCCTCAAGAAACTTATCCTGCCCCTGACTTTCCCTCTAGGGTAAGACAGGCATTCCTGCCTCTGCTTCTATACATTTTTTTTTTTAAGATTTTATTTATTTATTTGACAGACAGAGGCACAGCAAGAGAGGGAACACAAGCAGGGGGAGTGGGAGAGGGAGAAGCAGGCTTCCCGCCGAGCAGGGAGCCCGATGTGGGACTCGATCCCAGGACCCTGGGATCATGACCTGAGCCGAAGGCAGACGCTTAACGACTGAGCCACCCAGGCACCCCTGCTTCTATACATCTTATTACAGAATTCAGAACACTTAAGTTATGGTCATTTGTTCAAAAATCTTCTTGACTAGACAGTGAGCGTTTCAAGGAGAGGGCTTTTACTCCAGTGTCTAGCACATAAAAATAATAGCTAATACTTATCTAGGGCTCTCTGTTCCAGATGCTGCTTTATACATTAGCGTGTTTAATCTCCACAATAGCCTTATGAGATATACTATTCCCATTTTATGAATGAAGAAACTGAGGCACAGAGAGATTAAGTAGTTTACCTAAGGTAACAAGCTAGTAAGTAGCAGAGCCATGATTTCAAGTTAAGACACTTTAAGTCCAGGAAATTTGTGATAAATGAGAGCCGTCTTCCACTTCCAAAAAGGAATAGCCAAGACTTACTGTCCTATTAGACATGCGTATAACTACCTCTAGCCTGGGAAAATGTATTGGAGTACAATATTTGTCTCAAACAATTATTCCTCCACTGACAACCAGGTTAAGCAGTTTTCTTGAAACAGACTTCTTCAAGAGACCTACCATGCACTATTATAATTTTGTAGTGCTATATTGGAGAAGGTGGATTTCACAGTTATGAAAATATCTGTTAAGTTCCCTGTAATACTGTACAGGTAGGCAAGTCGAAATGGATAAGACTTTAGAGATTCATTTTCAAAATGAAAAAACAGGTTCAAAGACAGCAAATGAGTTAACCAGAGTCATACAGGAACTCCATGGCAGGAGGACTGGAAACCAGCCCTTTTGCCTTACAGGCTGCTTGTCTTTTCACTGTACCACACTGCCCTTAGAGTCTTACCTTTGGAAAGATTTATTACCACAATGGTATAGCCAAGGTGTATACTAAAAATGAGAATAGCAAAACCAAAAAAATAAATTAGTAATATTTAAAAATAAATTAGTAATAAATTATATTAGTAGAATATAAAATAGTAGATCAAGATAAGTAGATTTGGGGGACAGAAAAAGAAAAAGTAAATGGGAAATGGCAATTACATACTTGGGTTTCATGTAAGATAAAAATGCTTTGAACAATCTAGAACAGCTTCAGAAACGAGGTGAAAGATGACCCTGCCTTGTCAACTGCCTTAACTCCTCTCCCTTACTGCCCACTAAATTCTGTAGTCTCTACTTGGTAAATAGCTGGCCCCATTGTTTCAGTGGGCTGATGATGAGGCCTCATCACCTGTGTGGAGTGGACTTTTTTCCCAACCCTCTTCCTCCAAAAGATCCTCTCTACACTCCTTGCCTAGTACATCTACCATACTGCCACTGCTGTCAGGGTGACGTTCTAAAATTCAAAGCTCACCGTGTCAGTCACTTGTATAAAACTTTCCAGTGGTTTCTAGTTGCCAACAGAATAAAGTTCCAGCTTTTTTATAAGCAAACCCATGTCAATGCAAAGAAATTTCCTTGCATATCTAACGTTTTCATAGAGCACTGCCATCACTTATTTTATTTTGCCTAAAATCTGATACTGTCCTAAAGTTAACTCCTTCTCTTAAAGCCCTTTCAAATGGAGCTCTCCTGGAGCGCCTGGGTGGCTCAGTCGTTAAGTGTCTGCCTTCGGCTCAGGTCATAATCCCAGGGTCCTGGGATCAAGCCCTGCATCGGGCTCCCTGCTCAGCGGGGAGCGTGCCTCTCCCTCTCCCACTCCTCCTGCTTCTCCCTCTCCCACTCCCCCTGCTTCTCCCTCTCCCACTCCTCCTGCTTGTGTTCCCTCTCTCGCTGTGTCTCTCTCTGTCAAAAAAAAAAAATCTCAGATGGAGTTCTCCTGTCCCCATCTTTAGTATCTTGAACCAGAAGTAAATGCTGGCATTCTCACCTTGTAACTACAACTTCCAGACCAGCTACCCCTGCTTTGAGGCTTTTACTCTCAAGCCATGCAAACTCCATCTTCATTCCATCTCTCTAGGGATGATGGGATCTTAGAAACTTTTTAACAGCCTGCTATCATCAGTTTATGTTGCCCGGTTGTCCCCTCTGCTCTTGTCCTCACCAGAAAGATTAAAAAAAAAAAAAAAAAAACAAAAAAAAACACCTCCCAGCACCGCCCTTCAACCACCCATTTCTTTGATCATATCCTGTACTTTGTTCTCTAGAACTGTTCCACCTCTGAAATCAGTAACCAAGGGATTCCACCTTCTAAACAAGACCTTCTTTTATTCCAGATTTTTTTATTCCTTTACCCTCACCAAACCTGTTCTTCAACTTCTGTGAAATCTGTAGTTGACAGTCTACGGGTTCCAAGTTTGTTCCCCTCCTCCAGCTTTACTTTCTTCCCTTACTAAACTGGGACCTGTGATCATTTATTTCAAACTTGGTCTCATTGGCACTTTCAAGTTCATTCAGCCATTCTGTCCTTCCACATAAACCCTAAAACAGCCCTCAACCTTGGAACAGTTCCTCCCCTACATCCCTTCCCATGTTGATGTAGTTATTAGTTAACTATTGGTGCATAATAAATTATCCCAAACCTTGACTTAAAACAACAATAAGATTTTTTTGGCTTTTCAGTTTTTTCCATTTCATACAGGTTTTGCAGTTTCTATGGGAATTAAGTTAGCTGAGTGATTCTGGCTTGGAATCTCTAAGTGATTGCAGTCATGATGTCAGCTGGGGCAGCTGTCATCTGAAGACTGACTCTGGGGCTAAAGAAAGAATCACCTTCCCAGGTAGCTCTTTCACGTGGTTGGCACTTTAACAAGGGAAAAGGTCTGTTTTTCTGTGGACCTCCCTATAAGGCTGCTTGAGCATCCTCACAGTATCGTGGCTGGCTCCCCCTAGAGCAAGTGAGGGGTTAGAGCAGTGTGGAAGCTATAATGTTGCAATGTGCCTGCCCATCTGTGTGTGGACGAAATCAGATTTTAGGAATTTGTACAAAGCAAATCTAGAACAACTTGAAGTAAATTGAAATAATATTAAGTAGCATTTATTGAAGTCCAATTATAGAAAGAGCACCCATGTGCATTACTTCATTTAAACCTCACAACATTCCCATGACATAGTAATCATTGTCCATTTCATAGCTGAGGAAACCAGGACCTAGAGAGAAAAGTAATTTGTGTAATGTCAGATATCACCGGAAGACTCTTCCCAAGAACACACAAGAATTCTGGTTATCTGTGGTTGCATATCAAACCATTGCTGTAGCTTAAACAATTTATTTCGCTCACAAATCTTCATTTTGGTAGGGCTTAGTGGAGACAGTTCATCTCTCCTCCTCTGGTGTCCACTGAGGCAGCTTGGCACCTAAGATCTAGAATCATCTGAGGTCTCATTCATTCATATGACCAGCAATTGATGTTGCCTGGAATTTTTGTTGGGATTATCAGCAGAGACATCCATATGTAGCATCTCCATGTGGCCTAGGCTTCCTTGCAACATGTGGCAAAATTCCAAGGGGAAGTGACTGGAGAGAAAGAGACAAAACTATGGAAGTTTTTATGATCAAACTATGGAAGTCATGTCACTATTTGTGCCATACTCTTGATTGGAATAGTCAAGCCCACCCAGGTTCAAGGGGAAGGGAATTAGATTCCATTTCCTAATGGAAGAGTGGTGGAGTTCTGAAAGAACACATGGAACCAGAAATACTGCTGTGGCCATTTTTCAAAAACATCATCTGCCATAGTCAGCCCTCTGTTCACAACATATCTTCATATGCAAGACATACTCCTTCCTTCCCCCCACAATCCCCAGCCCCCAAGTCTTCCCATTGTGACAGCAGGATTGGACTGTTAAGAGGCTAAGAGGTTGCAGTCATACTGTGAGATTCCATTTATATAAAGTTCAAAAGCAGCAAAAATAATTTTTGTGAAAGAAGCCTGAATAGTAAATAACTTCAGAGGAGCAACTACTTGGATGGAGCATGTAGGAACCATGGAATTATGAATGTTCTAGATCTTGATCTGGGTAGGGGTTATATGAATAGATATGCCTAGGTAAAAGCTTATCAAGCTGTACATGTAAGATTATATCCTTTATGTAGTTTATACTTAAATAAAAAGTAAAATCACTTTAATGGTGGATACATGTCATTACACATCTGTCAAAACCTGTAGAATGTACACCACCAGGAGTGAACACTTAGGTAACCTGTGGACTTTGGGGTGGTAATGACACCTCAGTGTAGGTTCATCGACTGTAACAAATGTACTACTCTGGCGTGGGATATTGATAGGGAGAGTATATGGGGGGGGCAGGTGGAGGGGCTGGGTAGGACTGGAGGTATGTGGGAACTTTTTACACAGTTTAACTGAACCTAAAAGTGCTCTAAAAAATAAAGTTTATTGGGCGCCTGGGTGGCTCGGTTGGTTGGGCGACTGCCTTCGGCTCAGGTCATGATCCCGGAGTCCTGGGATCAAGTCCCACATCGGGCTCCCGGCTCAGCGGGGAGCCTGCTTCTCCCTCTGACCCTATCCCCTCTCATGCTGTTTCTCTCTCTCTCTCTCTCAAATAAATAAATAAATAATTTTTAAAAAAAAAATTTTAAAAATTTTATTACTTAAAAAGAAAATAAAAAGGATTTAAAAAAAAAAAATCCCTGTTCGTACCAGTTAGGAGCGTGGCTGTGTGTCAAATGAAAGGATGGATGGATGGATGGATGGATAGGTGAAATGGTTTAAGGAACAATGAAAATTTTTGGTTTACTTTACTTAAAAGTAAGTCCTAGAATAGTTCTGGCGACAGGCATTACTGAATCTAGAGTATCTCCATCCCTCAGCTCTGTCCTACTGTGTTCGCTTCATTCTCAGGTTCCATGTGTTGACCCCCAGCAGTTCCAGGCTTCTAACATCCTCCCTGCTTATAGCCTCAGCAGAAAAGCACATACCGTCTCTTCCAACAATCTTATTAAAAGTCTTGCTCTGTTGTTGTTGGCTCCATCTGGGTTTCATGCCCATCCCTAAACTGTGGCCAGGGGAATGTAATACCCTGATTTGTCAGGCTTTATCCACATGTTACTCTTTGGAAAGGAAGAAGCTGAGTGGCAAAATCAGTTATTCCAAAGTACGTGGAGTAGGGTGGGGGTGGGCTTGGCTCCCTTAGGAAAAATAGGGTACTACACAGCAAAATCACAGATGCTTATTAAAATAAGGCAGGGCACTGTGTGAGTCATAAAAATGTCCATACCCTTTGATACAGGATTCCCATTTGTGGGAATAATCCAAAATGTGGATTATTCTCCAAAATTATCCAAAAAGTTATATTTATAGAGATTTTAATTTCAATACTATCAAAAAATTAGATAACATAATTATCTTGCAATAAAAGTATTTGCATATCCCACATATATACTCAGTATGTAGTCATTTAAAATGAAAATTACAAATAGTTAACATCAAGGAATATGCTTAAGATAAGTGGAAAGGCATGTACTTACATGTATACACATATACATATATAAAAGGACACATGTTAAATATGAGAAAAATGGAAGAAAAGTAAGCCCGACCTAGGTGGGCTTGACTGTTCCAACCAAGAGTATGGCACAAAACATGCCAAGACAACTTACTAGAGTGGTAACACTTCTTTTTTTTTTCCTAATATTTATTTTTCCTTTATTTTTCAAGTTTCCTCTTAGGTATTTATGTCATTATTATGATTTAATAATGCATTTTGTAAAACTCCTTAGCATCTTAATAAGAATAGTCCATTCTCCTAAGTACTATGGTATACAATCAAAATAAACTGCTAGGTCAGTTTACTAATGATTCTGGTTAAGGTCATAGAATCCAGAGTTAGCAGAAACCTCAGAGGTATTCAGTTTAATGCCCCATTTTACAGAAGAGGTATCTGAGACCCCGAGAGAAGAAGTAACTTACACAATCACACAGGAACCAAGGGCAGGTCTCATGATTTTCAGGCTAACATTTCCTACACTGCACCAATCAATTAAGATGTAGATTTTTCTGCGATTGTTTTCCTTTGAAAACAAATCCTCAAGTTCAAGTTGATATCCAGCCTTTCATTAATAATTTAAATTAAAGGAGCTATTATCACTTTAGTTGGGAAAGTGATGTTTTTAAAAGGATGGTAAAAACTAATATAGGGGTGCCTGGGTGGCTCAGTCGATAAGCATCTGCCTTGGGCTCAGGTCATGATCCCAGGGTCCTGGGATCAAGCCTCGCATCAGGCTCCCTGCTCAGCCAGGAGCCTGCTTCTCCCTCTCTCGCTCCCCCTGCTTGTCTTCCCTCTCTCACTGTCTGTCTCTCTCTCTGTCAAATAAATAAATAAAACATTTAAAAAAAAAACTAATATCATGGCCCTTTATTTTATTTTTTTTAAGATTTTATTTATTTGACAGAGAGAGACACAGCGAGAGAGGGAACACAAGCAGGGGGAGTGGGAGAAGGAGAAGCAGGCTTCCCGCAGAGCAGGGAACCCAATGCGGGGCTCGATCCCAGGACCCTGGGATCATGACCTGAGCCGAAGGCAGATGCTTAACGACTGAGCCACCCAGGCGCCCCTATCATGGCCCTTTAAAAGGTCCTTGCCTTGCACATCCTTGCACATCTTTTTTTGTAAGCAACTCAGTCAAGAAATACCGAGGAAGCCCAGATCTGACTAAATGGGCCAAATGTACGGTCTACTTTTGGGTATCCACATCCTCATTCATTCATTGAATGAGTGTTAGGCCCGATGCCATGCCTTGGAGATACGAAGATGAATAAGGTACCACCGTTATTCTGGAGCTCACAGTTGAGTGGGGAGGTTAGACATACGCAGATAGCTCTATATACCATAGGAGAACATGGTAACAGAATGTTCATAAAGGTGTTTAAGAAGTGCTACAGGATCAGGGAGAAAAAGATTTTCATCACAGAAGGCTTCATAGCAGAGGTAGCATTTGGGTTGGGCCTCTTGAGTGAACAGGATTTTACCAGGCAGAGAAGTGGGGGAGGGGGTATCCAGGGTATCACAGCCAGAGGAAATAAGAAGCAAAGGTTGGAAATATAAAGGGACACACAGAATGGCAACATCAAGGAGTGAAATGAAGGATGTTGGACTCCTAGTGGTCCTCAACTGGGAGTACTTGTTGGACTAACTTAGGGAGCTCTATCAAATTTCAGAAGATTGTAATGTACACCTTTGACTAAAAACCTTAGATGTCTGCTGAGATCTTATGAATACCCTCAAGGTTTTTTGGGTCCGTGATTACCACAGTCATGAGAGAGCACCAGACTGAGTAACACAAGTTATTGCCATTTAATCCACATTGGAACCCAAGTGGCAAAAATACTGTCTGTGCTCTGGATGGTGATTTGACACTGATTAATGACTTGATCATTAGAAAACCAAAGGGAATTGCAAATGAAAATAGAAATAAAGACATAATCTCACACATTGAGTTTTCCCTAGTACATATTTTTGAAAAAATATATATATTTTTCAGGTTCACCCAAATGCTAAAGTGCCTCAGGTGAGGAGCTGATGATAATCAGTAATTATCCAAGGTGAGATCCAAGACATTTCATAAAGATGGAAATAATAACCCTGTCGGAAATGGAAATCAGCTATCATGGGGGAGGGGGCTATAAATCCAAACATAATATCCAACTTGTCTTCACCTCAGAGAGTTTCCAGCTGTTTATGATGTTTTGCTGTGATTTGCCAGAAATGAAATGCATTTTTTTAAACTGTGCTCCAGCCAGCTGAGCGAAAGCCCTGGGAACCATATTCTCTTTCAAGAAGTGTTGAACACTTGTGAAGTCTGCAGAGAAATGGTACAAGGTGTCTGCTTTCTTGTCAGTTCCAATGAAGATCTTTTCCTTGCAACCCTAGGATTGATTATTTTCTAAGTGAGCTTGTGGAAGACCAGATCAGGTCTCTCTTGGATTGAAAGGGCACTTGCTGAGATGCTATGAGCTTTAAACTTACCATGTCAAGGCCAGCAGTTCAAATCCAAGCCTTGCTAAAGGAGGTAATAAAGGAACGCTTGCTTATGGAGAGCCTGGGGAATGTATTTGTTGAGAAATGATTGTGGGAAGGAAATGTTCTAATAATGCTTGTATGAGTATGTGCCGCACCCCCCCCCCCCCCCCCCCGCCGCCCACAGACACACACACCCTGAGCTGAAGCATACAAGGCAGTCTGTGGTAATAGCAGTTAATCTCACCAGACTGATTTGAGACTTTGAAGAACAGAGGTTGAGTTCTGAATGCCCAGCACTGTTGAGTAAATTACTGAATGACATGTGGAACCCGAGAAGACAGTGGTATGGCATGTGGCAGTGTCTTTCCACAGTCACTCCAGACTGCCTAAGCTTCTCGAGACAAACCTTGCACCTTCATGTCATGCCCTGGGGCTGTTCTCCCATCTTGCCTCTGGAATGCTTTTATGCCATCGCTTCTTGCACCCTCTGGCCTTTTGAAGCCTATTAAAATCTTCATTCTTTACAGTCCATCTCAAAGATCTTTTGAAAATAATTCTCCATGCACAGATGGGAACAGGGAATGTTCTTGGAAGTCAAACAGATCTGGGTTTGAATCCCAATTCTACCTCTTTCAAGTTCTTGAGCAAGTTACTTCAGTTCTTTGTGCCTCAGTTTCCTCCAGATGGGTTTTGGGAAAGGTTAATGTGATAACATAAGTACAGTCTTAGCTCAGTGAGCAGCACGAAGTAGATAATCAGTGACTGTTAGCCCTCTCCCCTTGTTCACCTTCCTCCGTAAAACCCAGGTCCATGCTTAAAAAATGTTGCCTCCCAGGGCACCAGGGTGGCTCAGTCGGTTGGGCAGCTGACTTGGTTTTGGCTCAAGTCATGATCTCAGGGTCATGGGATCCAGCACCACATCGGGAGCGCTGAGCATGGAGTCTGCTTATCCTTCTCTCTCCCCCTCTGCCCCTCTCCAAGCTCCCTCTCTCTCACTCTCTCTTTCTCTTTCTAAAATAAATAAAATCTTAAAAAAAAAAAAAAACGTTCCCTCCCTCTGCCTATACATTCTTTAGCACTTTTTCCCCCTCCCCACTGCCAATTATATCCTCAGATATAATTGCTCCCTCCTCTGTACCATAGTGCTTTGCTTATGCCTCTTTTCTAGCACTTATTATAGGCTGACTTGAGCTATAACTCACCGTGTTTCCCTCCCACTTTGGCTGAAAACACCTCAAGAGCAGTATCTCCAACAACTAGCATAGGGACTAGTTTAGGACAGACATTCCATAAATGGTTGTCTAATTGGAACAACATTTAACCCAGCTTTCCAGGAGGCAACGTGAACATGTAACATGTCTTCTCCCTACAAGCGCTGAATGGTCTAAGTAGTAAGAAGGAAATTCCCTGGCAATTAAGTGGTTCAAAGTTGATTGCTGTCTGTCCTCCACTTCCAGATGTCTTTGTTTCTCCCACTTCCAACTCAGCCAGGCCAGAAGAGCATTCCCATGAGGGTAATCTAATATATCTTTTTTGGCTGATTTGATTAGAGTGTGAAATACTTTCGTTGGAGAAAATACACAAGAGTGAGCTTTTTCTCTGTTTTTGCAAGGGACAGAAGGTGAGGGAGAGAGAGGGAAATTGAAGCCAGAGGAAAATCTATTGTACCCCAGGAGATGAAGAACACATGTAGCCAACACAAAAAATATTGTCCTGGGTCAGAATTTCAGAGCCTGAGCCATGAATGACTCCAAACCTTCTCATTGATCTTAGGGAAAGAATTAAAAGAAAAACAAAACAATTTAAAAAATCTCTTCCCCAGAAACTATTCTGTACAATGATATTTGTACAAATGAAGAACCAGAAGCAAGCTAAAAATTCAATTCAACAAATACTTCCTGAACTATGAAGTTCAGGGGCATTGGAGTTATGGAGATATTGGTGAAGCTAGATTTCTAAACTTAGTCTGTTCTTCCCTCCGCTCGATTATTTTCATCTTTGGGGAAAGCACAGTATTTCAGTCAGCATTCAGCTAAGGAAGTAGAATTACTATGAGTTGTGGGATAAGGGATTTGTTATAGAAATTAGAACTTAAACAATTGTGAGAGGGGCTGGGGCAGTCTGGCTCTGAAAGGGGGGCGATCAGGGGAGTCACCAACCAGTCAATCCCAGAAGTCAAGCACATCCAGCTGACAGGGGTCTGTGAAGGGGGAACTGATAGAGAAGTCTACAGGAGAAGGCTGTGGGTCCATAACCAGGGGTCTGGTGGTGGGCTTGGAGCTTCTATTGACCAAGAGTCAGCAGTTAGGAAGAGCTGGGTATAGAGTGGAGGAGAGTGAAGACAAGCTGGAACCTTCTGGCACCTCCACATCTGTCCATGACTTCAGTGGTCAATGGCTGCTGATTCACTTCTGCTTCCCAAATCTCAAACAACTATCTTTAAAAAAAAGATATTTATTTATTTATTTGAGAGAGCGAGAGAGAGCATGAGCAGTGGGGAGAGGCAGAGGGAGAGGCCTACTCCCCACCAAGCAGGGGCTCAATCTCAGGACTCTGAGATCATGACCTGAGCTGAAGGCAGCCAATTAACCAAGTGAGCCACCCAGGTACCCCTCAAACAACTATTTTTTTAAACCAACTTTAACCTAGAACCATGCAGTTTGCCACTTAACTAAGCCGGCACACATAAATTTCCCCCCATCGCCATAAAGCCATTTGTCTTCTCCCAATTTCTACAATGAAAAAGAGTGGGCTTTTAAGTCTGACAGGCCTGGGTTCTAATCCTGGGTCTGCGCACTCCCCCGCCCCACCCCCAGCTGTATGACCTCAGGTAAATTACCATTTCCAAACCTTAATGGAGCAGGAATCCCTCCTCTGTGCTACTGTAAACCCCCTGGGCTTCTCTCAGTTGTAGCATTTACTTCATTTTCTTGTCATTATCTATTTATGTGTCCACTTCCTGCACCAGACCACAAGCTTGAGCACAGGGATCATATCTGATTCTACTCTATAGTTATGGTGCCTAACGGTGCCTGACACAGAATGCTCAGTAACTGCTGGCTGAGGCTGAATCCTTGAAATGGAGACGAGAACTCACCAGACTATCAAGCTAACAACAGTGGAGCCCAATACTAAGACATTAAGGCAGTGAGACCTACCTGTGTCCCTATCACATTCAGTACCGTCTGTAAAAATAGGCTCCAGACACCCCTACCTCATCCACAGCTTCTCTGTTAAACCATTCCACTCCCCAACCTGTTTTAATCATCCTGATTCCGGGCTCTTGGGCTTGTTTTCTGTTTATCACCTGCTATCACCTCTTGGACCTATTACCTTAAATGTTCAAGCCCCCAGCTCTCTACCTTGCTTGAATTTTTCTTTTCCCCTTTGAGTAAACTATTTTCCCTTTCTTGGCGTGTTTCCCACCGTCCTACCCGAGGTTCTCAGGTCAGAGACAATGAAAGTCCCTGCCCTCGGGGAGTTCTCAGTCTGGTGAAAAACAGACAGGGAAACCAGCAATTCCAGGACAGTGTGGTAAGAGGTCTGTTGAGGGATGTTCAGGGTACAATGGGAGCATAGAAAGAATGAAGAGCACGTAATCTTACAAGGAGAAGGAAGTATACATTGATCTGAGTCTTGAGAAATTGTTTAAGAGATTCCCAGGCAGAGAAAGGGAGGACGTGTGTTGCAGACAGAGCCCACATTGCAGTGGTGTGAAGACAGGAGGGACAGGGCCTGGGAGGCTGCAGGTATACTGGTGTGGTGGGAAGAGTATGCAAGCGCAGTTGGGAAGTGGAAGGAAATGAGCCAACATTGTAAAATTGGGAGATTTCACATGAAATTCTGGATCTCCAGTTTCTGTTGAAAAATCAGAAGATCTGGCCATACTGGGCTCTCACTCTCATATGAGCTGAGAGTTGTGCATCCTTGTTAGATGCCATACATGTTTTTGTTTTTTGTTGTTGCTGTTTTTTATTTATTTATTTATTTATTTTTAAGATTTTATTTATTTGACAGAAAGAGACACAGTGAGAGAGGGAGCACAAGCAGGGCGAGTGGGAGAGGGAGAAGCAGGCTTCCCGCTGAGCAGGGAGCCCGATGCGGGGCTCGATCCCAGGACCCTGGGATCATGACCTGAGCCGAAGGCAGACGCTCAACAACTGAGCCGCCCAGGTGCCCCGTTGTTGCTGTTTTTTAAAGAGTGGATCTTTTAGGGGCACCTCGTTGGCTCAGTTGGTGGAGCATGTGACTTTTGATCTTGGGGTTGTAGGTTTGAGCCCCACGTTGGGTGTAGAGATTGCTTAAAAAAAATAAAATCTTAAAAAAAGAATGAGTGGATCTTTTATTTTTATTTATTTATTTATTTATTTTTAAGGTAAGCTCTTGGCCCAATGTGGGGCTTGAACTCTCAACACTAAGATCAAGAGTCGCATGCACTACCAACTGAGCCAGCTGGGGGGGCCCCACCATATGTGCTTTGTAACTCACTTGGTCTCCACCACACTTTTGTCATCATACTTGCACTCTTGTTTTTCTTTAAGGAGAGAAATATTTCTTAATACCTGGCTTTCTGTGAAAAGTG